AGTCATCATACATATATACATACATTTATAAGGTTGTTGTCGTTGTCTTCATGTAAGTGGAAATAATTGAATAGAATGCTAGATGCTACGAAAACATAAGAGAGAAGGAGGAGTATAGTAAAAGAAGAAGGGAGAATTAAATCAGGGCGTAGAAGGTGACGCTGTTTTATACAATAACAACAAGAACAAACTTGTTTGTTTGAAAAAGTTTTATTTCGTAACTTTCGTTGTTGTTAAATTTGTTTTGCCCATATAAGAGTGAGTAATATGATTGTGTATGTGTGTTTGTAGCTTTTTAAAGGATTGCCAGATAATTTAATGTACATGCAAGAAAAAAAGAAAAATTACTAAAAATTTAAATTGTTATTTAAAAGATAAATCTGTTTTTTTATCTGACTTACGATTAAATCATGGTTTTTTAAGGAAATAGTAATATATGAATAAAGTAAAGGGATTTAACCAGTCATTTTAAAATAACCATGATGACTGTATAATTGTATTAGATACAATTATACATCAGCACTATATTATATATTCTCAAAACTATTTTCACAGACCTAGTGCAAAGCTAAATTTCTTGCTGGAGCCGAACTCTTTTTTTGCTAACGACAACTTGGAATATTAAATTCCCTTATGAATTTACGCATTTCTATTAAAAAATACATTTCGAAATATTTTTACATGGCAGCTCATTTTCCTTAAGTCTTAATGGTGTGGTGGGTGGTACGACCTCTGCCAATGGCTTACTTTCTAAAAGTAACAAACAACAATGTCAGTGTGTGTCTATACACAAAGTTGCAGAACAAGAAATCCTCACATCCATCCTTCCATCTACAAACGTCAGTGTTTGTAAAGTTTGTGTATCAACCTTCTTGCTATTCATTCATTTTTTAAAGCGAGGATGAGAAAATAAACAAGATACCTTTTATTTTTAGCACACATTTAGGAAATAAAAAAATCGATTTAAAGGAAAAGATTGAAAACGGGCGTTGTTGTTGTCTCTTCTAAAAAATTATATAAAATATTCTTCAAAGCACGATTTATTGTCGAAGAAAAATTCAAATTTTTACTTTAAAATCGAAAACCAAACGCAGAACATGCGTTTTAAATTTTCAATTGTTTAAGTTTCTTAATCAGAGTATTTAAAAGATTTGTTACACAGCATCATTAAATCAAAAATCACAGCATAAATGGACTTGCGGCAAATGAGCGATATGTCAGCTGTATTATCTTTTAATGAAATGTAAAAGGTATTGATGGGTAAATATAACAAAAAGGATATCACTACGGATTTACCTTCTGTTACTATTTTAAAACTAATTGTACATTACAATATTTCAAACACTTAATTATTATCAATTTATGAACTTAGAACCCCTTTTAAAAATGCATATAAACATTAAAATTCATGTAAATGCAGATGTAGAAATAAGCGACAGTTACTGTAATGCCTAGTATCGCCTGATTATTACAGCTATATTAATTGGGAAGAGGTCACAATATTGTTTTATTGACATAAACTAAAAATTATCGTGTTTGTCACCAAAATGATTTGGTCTGTGCATAAAATGATTTACAACAAAAGTAATGAAAGTCGATAGCCCCTATTGCATAGCCGTATTGAATTGCTTGGAGCTTAAATTAATTAACTACGATGGGTAAACGGAACAAAAAGAATAAAGCTACGGTGCAGGGAGTACAGTACCGGCGGCAATCGATTGTGATCCGGCTGTTCTAGGTGTGGATGCCTTGGCACCTGCAGCTGTATCTGTTGCAAGTGCATTCATTTTAAATCCGAACGTTGACGAACCGGCTATTCTTTTGGCAAACTAGCAGGTAAAGTCTGATGAAAATCAGACTTTGGCTGACAGGGCTGTAGTTCTGGGAGGGGACTCTAAATGCTATCCGCGATAGTCAAGAGGAGCAAAGTAAGGAAATCTGTGGAAATGTGGGGATACGCTTCCGGAGGAACTGCTACTGAATCTCACCCTAACTGATGAGCTGGACACCACGGTGATCCCGACCGAAATCCACTAAAATGTGGATTATCTATTTTTGTTATTAAATAAAATTGTACATTAAAAAACTTGGCAATTTCACGAATGGGACTTGCAATGTATAATTCGTTATACCGGGCGTTTCAGATATTGGTTTCATTCGAGAGACGTTTTCTTCAAACTCAAATTTTTATTTTTTTTAAATGACAATAGCGCCAAATGAGTTATTACGAATTCAAATATGTAAGAAAAAGTGAGAATAGGTTGGCTTTTTAAATTGGACTTTCAACCTAAAAAAAATAACTTATTTCTATATATTAAGATATCTAATTCTTTTGAACAACGATTTTTATTTTATTTATGTAAAAAAAACTAAAGATAACAACGCGCACTCTAAACATGACAATTCATAATTTGCTCACACAATATTGTATAGCAAAAAAAATGTATGAAAGCACACAACAGTATGTACTTTGCACTTGTATTTTATAACAACAATAATATATGTATCTATTAATAAGCATCTAAATTTCTATCAGAAACACAGCAACACACTCTAAAAATAAAAACAATACAACGCAGATTGGCGCTAAACAAATATAAATGTATAACTATGCCTGCCTTTATGTCGATTATTTTTTCAACAACAACAAATTCACACACACACAAAACAAGTCAAGGTAGCGGCTACCTCTCTGATCGATTATCCATTGAAGCCGACGCCGCCACTATATTTTCCTTTTTTGCACAGACCGCCACAACAACAACAACAAAACAGCAATTGAATTATCGGATAAAAAAACATGTGCTTTCAGCTTTCCTTTAATTTTGTTAACCTGCATCATCGTCATCATATAAACACAACTTACAATTACGAAATGGAACTCAATCAAAATACACGCAATCACACACACACTCTCATATAGGAAAAACAAAAAATAAGGAGACAAAAAATACCGCGCGCACTGCAATGTGTCAACACTGCCACCACCGCCAGCAGCCACCACCGCCAGCAGCAACTAGCAATCTGCTGCCGATAGCAATAAAAAATACACGAACCGAACGTCAAAGAAAACAAAGTAGGCGAATTTTGTGGAATAAAGTAAAAAAAAAATATGTTTTGTACCCTTAGTACTCGTTACTTTGTGCTTACGACGGGTTAAGTGAATGTGTGTATTCATGATTTAGGAGAGTAATGAAGAGCGAGACAGAATGTGTGCAAGTATGCTGTCTGTTGTTTGTTCGCGTCTGTGTGTGCCTGTGCAAATTTCTCGACAACGAACTAGTGGAGAAAAAAACCAACTAACCACTCGGCGAATTGGCGCTGACAAAACGCAAAAATCACTGACACTCAACTGTATATACATATATATATTAAAGGGAAATATATGTGAATGCATTAAAAAAATATGTATAAAGCGCACCATACTTTAATATTGATCACTTCTCAACATCAAGGAACACCATACACATTTCCTCAATTGTAATGGCAATGCGCTCATACAATTATCGAATGGAATCGTTGACAACCGTCGTCCGCAACCGCCGGACAAGCAGGCAGGCAGTTAATATCGAAACTTCAACAAACCCGATTCTATTTGTTTAATTACTGTACTTTTTCAATCACATTTTTCCAGAAACTCACCGCACTCAAACACAAAAAAAGAACGAACGGACGAACGAATCGATTGGTTGGCAAACAAAACTTTCACAATTTACTTTTTCTTTTTTAATTTCTGGTGGAAAACACAAATTGGCAACAACAATAAAACACTTGCTTGGTTAAAAGACGACGGCAACGACGACAAGATTAAATAAAAACAAATTTTAAACGTTAAATTTCTGATTTCTGGGTGCTTTCCACTTTTCAATGCTTCTTCAGCAGCAGGGGCCTGTGTTCGCCGTTGTATGTATGCGTGTGTTTGTTACTTTTTCGTTCGAGTTTTTTCTTTGTCGCGCGGCGGCGGCTACACTCATCAAGCAGCAGAACGTAGAAGAAAATGCTGTTTTTGTTTTTCACAATTTTACTGCGAGAATTTCATCGGAATCACTTGTACTCCATCTGCTATTAATTATTTACACAACTATGACACATTTCACGGTCGATTTTTTTCAGAAAGAACACAAAACTTTCCGATTTTAATTCTCTTTAAAGCAACGCGTCCATAAAAATTCCAACTTTACACTCGTATATTTCAAAATGGCGGAAAATGTTAAAGACATCAACGAACAACACGGCAACTTTTCTGTTTTAGTACATTTAATGACGCCGATTGCAACCAATTCTCGCCACTCTCTACACCATACTCGTTCGTTCGTTTGTTTCAGATTCTTTCGTTGCTGATGAAATTGCTTTCGTTTTATTCGATTCGATTATTGGCACATTTCACCAAATCAAAACTTTTTCTGATTTCACACTTTTATTTGGTTGAAAGACAATCAAATCTAGATTATAGCAAAATTACCATAAATTTAATTTCCGTGCGTTTAATTTGTTGTATTTTTTATTGTGTGTAGATACCCGTAAAATTTAGTGCGGTGTCAATATACGAAATAAAATGTAATGTCTTCAATGTACCAGAGAGAGTAGGCAACTAATGACAAGTAATGACGACATGACATATTTTAGTACTTCTGTGTGCAGGTAGTGTAGATGTGGCAACCATCTAATATTATTGTTGTTCGAATCAAGTGGCATCACTCAATAGAGATTAGAATATCAAAAGGGAATAGAATACAATGTTTGATGCAACATCACACATCGAATTGTTTATCCCTATGTTCGATGTTCATTTTTCGATCTGCTTAGCTCTAACAAAAAAAGTTCGTACAAACAAAAAAAAAAACTTTGCATTTTGCAACAAAAGAGACCGACCGATTTAGGTGTAGTTCGTTCACCGCGACGAAATTTATATACATTGTGTAAATTATTAATTTTTGTTACATTTACTTATTATTCTTTGTTGTATTACAATTTCAGAAAAGTTGTTTTGAGTACTGAAAATGTCGAGCAGAAAAGCATCTCATGCAGGCAGTTGGTATACCGATTCAGGTCAGTAAACTGTGGTGATGATAGATTTGTAGTTTTAATTTTCCAATTTAACGCCATAACATCCAGAGCTGTGAAATTATGTCTCAAACATAGCGAAATACCTTAATAGAAAAAACACAATCATCGAATATAGAACGTTTTAATATTTTAGTTTAGTATTTCATTGCTTTTATTTGCATTCAATTTTTCATTTGCGGAGTAATTTTGCTCCAAGTCTTTCTGAAGTTCTTTTACTCGATCACTGGAAACTTCAATTATATGAGTCATGCGCTTGGTAATGTCTTGTACATCGTTTCGTTGTCTCTTTAATTTCTCCAGGCCGTGTTGCAATTGGGTACACGCTTTGAAGAATTCACTCAACTCCGGAATATCCCCAAATTCACCTGGATGTCGGCGAAATTTCGCACCCATTTCTTTTGTCATGTCGCCCAGACGATTGTCTACGTACTGTCGATCGAATGTGTTTTTTAAATCGTGCACGATTTTCTTGATATCATTATTTTTGTCATCCAAATGTACGTCCCGGATGCGTGACTTCAAACAGCCAAAATTGATACTTTGAAAACGTTCACCTATAGTTTGAAATATCTGATAACTTTCATTGAGATCAGCATTCATTTTTTGCACTTCGTCGTCTATGGCATAACAGCCGTACGCCTTTGGTAGGTTTATGCGAGAAGAACCGTTTTCGTTTTTCGGTCCATATAAAACGTTGGGTTCCTCAATATTGTCATTATGTTCTGATGTAGACGTAGATTTATTGGGAGAATCCTGTGATTCCTTTTCTGGGGTCCTGAAAAAGTAACTGGCGTTTAAATTGAATTGAATGTGCCAACGTTTTCACAATGTCTTACTCATTATCTATAATTGCCACCAGTTCATTTCTTATCGATTCTAATAAAAAATCCGTTGTTTGTTCGTTATGATGTTCCATTGTAAATTGGGATTTTCATTGAAAATGTTTTCGTTCGACAAACCAAATGATTCAAACGATATATATGTAATTAAACGAACGATACACCTGCCAATCTTTGGAATATTAAAATTTTTTTCATAAACAAATGTATTGTTGGCATAGTTATCAACTTGCCAACTACATACTGACACACAATGAATTCTGCTTTTTTTTGTAAACACTGCACTCCCAAATTGGATTGTCTGCATTTATCATTATGCCAAACGTTTAAAAGTTCAAGAATGATCAAAAGGATTTAGATTCTTGGATTTAGCACAAGCCTTGACATATATATTTATATGTCTTAATTATGATAAACCCTTTTTATGGTTTCGGTTAGTTTTATATATATAGTTTTTATATGTATACACCTTGGTACCATGATATATATATATATAATTTGTTATTCGTTAAATGTTTGAAATATTTGTTTGTTATAGTATAGAAAATTTACATATGTTCATTTATTGTAGCTTCTGAACTATCACGTCAACTTGATAATTGGTTGAGTGCAGCAACACTCTCACATGGACCAGCTAGGGCTATAATAGCGCCGTAAGTATATTGAAAATATGTTTTGGTGAGCATGATTGTAACACTACGATTTAATCTTTCAGTCACGCTGGATACACATACTGCGGTGCATGTGGTGCTTTTGCATATCGACAAGTTAGCCCTGCTGTTGTGTAAGTTCACACAGTGTGTGTTTTTGTGTATTTAAAATAATGTTTTATTTTCATTTTCCATAGTAAACGTGTTTTTATTTTGGGACCATCCCATCATGTGCGTCTTCGAGGTTGTGCCTTATCAATTGCTAAAAAGTATAAAACTCCACTTTATGATCTCAAAATTGATACAGACAGTAAGAACATATTTCCTTTGAATAACAAAAACTGAAATTATAAAGAAATAAACACATTTTCGATAATTAGTTAATGCTGAACTGGAAAAGACTGGACACTTTTCTTGGATGGACATGAAGACGGATGAGAATGAACACAGCATCGAAATGCATCTACCTTATATAGCCAAAGTTATGGAAGAGTAAGACCCTTTACACTCGAAATCACGATCCTATATTCTCATATACATACATTCTGCTTATAGCTTCAGGGATCAATTTACAATTGTTCCAATTTTGGTGGGTTCGTTGAATCCCGACCAGGAGGCATTGTATGGACGCTTACTAGCAAATTATTTCACAGATCCTCAGAATTTATTTGTGATATCTTCAGACTTTTGTCATTGGGGACATCGTTTCAACTACACCTACTATGACAAATCGTGTGGTCCAATTTACAAATCCATTGAAAAATTGGATAAACAGGTACATTATTACGCAATTCGAAACGTTCATACGAATATAATTGTTATTGTTTTTATAGGGCATGGACATAATTGAGACATTGAAACCTGAAACATTTACTGCCTATTTACGTGAATACAACAATACCATTTGTGGACGTCATCCCATTGGCGTAATGCTGAGTTCCGTTAAAGTTCTTCAAGAACAAGGTTATAATATGAGTTTTAAATTCTTGAAATATGATCAAAGTAGCCAATGTAAAGTTATGGATGACTCAAGTGTTAGCTACGCTTCTGGTTCTTTAGTTTTTGAATGCTGAAGATAATGTTTGACTTATCCAAAGTATATTACTCTCTAATTGGGGTTTCGGAGAAGAAAAAAATACGCAAATAATACGCCGGCCACTACCATTTTATTGTTTAATCAATAAAGCAAATACAATATCGTCTTCGAAGTAAGCAAATTGTACATATAATAAGTGTTTGGTTCTAAATAAATACAGCTTTAAATTGACATTTTTTTTATTAACCAGAATGTAATACGTAATTTCCAAATTCATTAATGGAAATAGCTATTTTGTCAAAAACCTAATGGTTTTGGGGGGATTTCCGAAGTTTCTGACTTATGTATCACACATTTATCTTCGGTATCATCCTGCGATGGTGTTATCCTTTGGATAGCTGATTTTTTGGGATCAGTCTTCAACATTCAACCAATTATGCATGGGAGATATTTTAATTCTCAAAAAAAAAAAAAAAAAAACAAAAAAAACTTCTTGAGTCCGATCGTTAAATTTACTCTTTACAGACATTACGACTTCTAGTAGTTTCAAGTGATTTTCAAAGTCGTCTGCTATGATAAAGAGATCATCCAAGCAATTTAACGAGAATAACTTTGTCCATCAATCTGCATAATCTTTGGTCGATGTGGTACTGTGAAGGCGGTATATGGTTTTGCTTCATTTTCTAACTCAATCTGCAAGAAGGCATACTTCAGGTCGATACTACTGATATAATGGGTTCGATTGATTCCATCGATATTCTGTAAGGGATACGCATCTTTCACCGTAAGAGCATTTAGTTTTTTCGCAGCGAGGCTGGGACTTTGACAGGATTTTCACCTTCTATTAATTTATAGCGTGCTTTTCAAGTTTTGTGTAATTTAGTCAATTTTTCTCGAATTTATTTATGATTAGGTTATTCAGACTACAGTTGGTGCATATTTATATTTTCATTACTGGAGTTGAATTTGAAGGTGAATTTGCTTTTGAAGGTCCACGTTTATTTATTTTATGGGGAATATTACATTGAATAATTTCCAAAATTCAGTACCTAAGTAAAGGTCTTGTTCGCGATCCGGACATAAATAAAAATGCATTTGTGCCAGTTTTTCCTGATATTCTACCTCTACGTCAACTTTTCCCATTTTCGGTGTGTTTTCCCTGACGCAGTATTAACGTTCGTGTTTTGGTGATTAACCGTAATGTTCTATTCCTCAACAATTTCTCTGCAATGGTTACCTAGAATCGATACAGTGGCCCCTGAATCTAGGAGACCTTTTATCTCTTTGCCTTAATTTTGATAATGGCATATGACCTTTCTTTAATTCCTTATTTTTTCTACCTTTGCCTCATTTTCATTATTATAATTTTATTCTCTTTACGTTTATTTAACATTAGATTTGTTGCTTCGGACTTAAAGGGTTGTCCATGTCCTTGAAAAAATTGTTATCTTTATTTTCATAATGTTAGAAGATAATTTGAGAATAATTATCGATATTTGAGTTGGTCAAAGCGTGTTGTTCTATTGTTTTCCGCTTTGCACGTTGCACAATTGGGGTGATGGTATTTTGAAATAAAATAATCCTCTTTGCGAAGAAGGACAATCTCAAAATTCATGTCCTGTTATTTGGCAATTCCAGCAGACGGTTTCGTTTAATGCTAACGCTTGTACAATTTCTTCAGGATCTTCAAATGTTTTGCATTCTACATTCTCTTCTGTTATAGCATGTACACGCATTGGCCTATTAATAACCATAGATGGAGGAAATTGAAGAGCTTGATCGGGTCTAAAAATACCCTTTCAATTTCCAAGCAATCTACTCGTAACTGCTCTAGCGATGATACGGGCATAGAATATACAATACTCTACAGGTTCTTCATCAGATTCTTTCTGACCTAAGAAATAATTTCGTAGTCTGAGACTGTTTCTCTAGTTTGGCCTTCATCTGACTAACATCGCGAATGATTAATTGATTCAGTGGGTCCCATCGTTCTTTCTAATAAATCTCGCATTGGTTCAAAAGTTGTCCCCCTCGTCCAGCCGTTTATGATATTTGGGGGGTTACTCTGTATTGCGTTGCGAAAGCCAGTGCGATGCGAAAGCTAAATGCGTTAAGAGTGCAATTTGGTACTCTGTATCGCTCACGCAAACGCATTCGCAAAATAAATCGAAAATAGGGCAACACTAGCACACAAAGTAAACAATAACGAAGAATGACAAAAGGAAACGTCAAAAAATTGTTAATAAAAACATATTTTTATGTGGTACGAGTGTTTTTTTAAAAACAAAAATGATGAACCAACTAAAAAAAGAATTTTAAGAGATCGATCAAATATACTCTACCTAAGTGAACACGGATATGAAAATAGAAGTACGAATAATGTGACAAACGTTTTCAAATATTTAATTTTTATAAATTTGTACAAAATGTTCGTCTCAGTAAAGATGCGTTTATGTTTTTAATAAACGCTATTAAAAATGGCCTCGTCGTTCCAAATGGATCCACAGCAATTCCAACTCCAATAAAAGTGGCCGCTGCTTTGAAATTGCTTGGACAAGGTGGTTATCAACACCAACCTGTAAATATGCACACATAGTTTCACATTTTATATATAAAATATAAAACATTACTTTTTTCCAACCAGCGACATCTCTTACAGGAGGTCCATCTGAATTAAGGTCATCATCCTGTTTTCTCAACAATTTTTTGGCGCGTCGTTTCGCATTTAAACTCTGCAACTGGCCCCTTGCCAAATCGCTGTGCTGCACCATAAAATCTACAAAAGTTTGGAACTGACGGTGCTGAGTCGTCAACTGTAACTTTTTTTGGCTTTCTCCCAAAATAATTATCAATTTAGATATAAATAAAAACTTTAATTATGCTTATTTACATGTTTTGCTTCATTTGCGTTTGCTATTTTGTTAACGCAAGATATTTGCGTTTAACGAACGAGTTTGACATGCGTTTTCGTATTACAGATTGCGGTGATGCCACATTTGCGTAAAGTAGATTCGAAAGGAGATACGAAAACGAATTAGAGAGTACCAATTACGCGATGCGTTACAATTTTTCTCACGCATCGCAATACAGAGTAACCCCCTTGATCTTTGTTGAAGCCAGAACCATTCTTTTGCAGGACCAGACAAGATAATGTGGAACTCATTTAGGATGTCTTCCCAAGCTAACCGATAATGTTGTTGGAAGTATTCCAAACAAAATATGAAATCTTCGACCGATAAACTATTTGGTTTTCCCGAAATGTTCAACCCATAACGTTCCACTTTTATTCCTTGGCTACCTGTACTAAAGACTGGAGGTGTTACTGTATTTCTATGATTAATATCGTTTAGACGGTCTATTACTGAATACACTTTATCCATCTCCTTTGCCACACTTTTCTCAATCCATGACCTCAAGTGAACCCGAGCATCAGTCACGCTCTCGAGTTCCATGTTTCTTATGAGGTTATTTACCTCGCCTAGTTGGTTGCCTGGATTAGGTGCAGTAGGCAACCTAGCCGTAGAACTGGTGCTTGGTTGAGGATTAATAACACTGTGCTACAAAATAACAAAATTTTCAGGGGTTCTAATGTACCAATTCTGTTTAGTTGGAGTCTCTGGACCACGAAAATACCTTTGGTTTTTCTGGGTCACTTCGAAATTAATTTTATAACGGTAAATATAGAGAAAAACGTGGTTTCATGGATTTTCAACTTAAAACGTGAATAACATATTTACTTTATAACGGATTTATATTATTCTTTTTTTTTCGAAGAGTACAATTTTTCCTTTCAAACAAGATATATATTTGGTAAATCGGTTGAGTCATCCATTTTTTAACCGATTTTTTGATTTTTATCATTTTCGAAAGCTAATTTAATTTTCTTCCCCGTAATATAATAAAACTTATATGGCTTGATATCATAATTTCATCGTACAGTCCGAAGAAAAATAAATTTTGTCATTTTATGCGTATTTTTTCTCATTTCAACCGCTGTAACTCAGCCAATCCTTAACCGATTTACCAAATATATATCTTGTTTCAACGGAAAAATTGTACTCTTCGAAAGAAAAAATATAAATAATATAAATCGGTTATAAAGTAAATATGTTATTCAAGTTTCAAATTGAAAATCCACGAAACCACGTTTTTCTCTATATTTACCGTTATAAAATTAATTTTCGAAGTGACCTAGAAAAACCAAAGGTATTTTCGTGGTCCAGGGACTCCAACTAAACAGAATTGGTACATTAGAACCCCTGAAAATTTTTCGTGTCGCACAGTGTAATTCACATGCATCCCTATACATGTTGGATAGTTCTATTCTAGAGCCAAGTTTTTCATCTTTCGAGTACACCTAATTCTGTTTTTACACGAATTTGAAATAACACGAGTAAATACGAAAAAATATTTCTATTTTTACACGACATAATTTGAAATAACACGAATACAAAAAAAAAAAACAAAAAAAACAAAATTACTTTTTTTACATGAACTATTTATTTATTGAAGAAAATTCTGGAATGCTTTTGCTCAAACATCCCTGCCTTAATTAGAGTATCAACCCTGCATGGCATGAATTTCTGATATGGCAACATTTTATATAATTCTAGTGTGTGTTCTGAGTTATGTCTATGTATGCGTAATTTCTGTTTTACGGGAAATGCGGGATTCCCCGAATTATTGAAAAAGTAAAAATTTAAATAATGTATTGTACACACAATTTAGTTCCTATTTGACAATTATAATTGAAAGATCGTTAGTTTTTGCTGATTTTTAACAAGTGCTAAGTAAAATAAAGTAGAAGCTCATATAATTTTGGTAGACCAATAACAGGTTAGTTTCAAATATTTAATTTTAGATTTTTTATATATTTTATTATAATTTAGTTTATTTAATAAATTAAAACGAAAATAATTTCTTAAAATAACTACAACAATATTTTTTATATTATTTAGTCTAATTTAAAACTTATTTTTTGAGGTCTAGAACCAATCTATTATTTTTGTACTTGGCCAGTATCTTTTTTTACACGAATTTCT